AACGAGCAAAATATTTTTTAAAAGTAATATTTTCGCGGAGACCCAACTTTCCGCGATTCTCCAATTATCAGGAAAACTTGACCAACCGAAGTTAAACTTGAAACAGGCAGGCGGAAGAAAAATGGCGATTTCTTGATACGACAGATAAATCCATGCCTGTTTTCATGCCGGGATCAGCGTCATCCGGCAGACTTAGCTTAATTTGTCCCTCATACAAAAAGGACCTGAAAAGACCTTCCAAATCCTGAAAAACTCCTCCTAACATATGTGTCGCGCTAAGAGTTTTCTAGGCGAGACCGTTTTTAAATAGAAGAAAACTCTGCATACACCAGAAAAGTGACATTTCCAATCTCAGAGACTCGAGATAATGATGAAGAAACTGCGCCTTTCTTTGAAGACCCAATTTTTGCTCTGCTTAAGAATTTTCCTCTGCTCAGAATTCAACAAATTTCTGGCCTCTGGGAAAAAAAGCCAAAAATCCTGCTCGAAATCAGAAATCCAAACAAAAAAATTACAAAAAGTCAAGAGGCCAAAGGAGGGGTGCCGTCGCATGCTAATAACAACAATAATTACGAATTTAAAAAACTGCTGGAATGACGCATCATCATCGATTTACAACAAATCTTTGCATTTGGCAAGAACAGCAGAAGCGTTAAAACAGCCAGGAGGGGTGAATGGTACTCCGTGGTCCTGCAGAACCCGGTTAGCAACGTTTGTCCCCTTTTATGCTGGCTTCTCGGGGCATAGCCTCTCTATTCCTAAATCATGCCCAAAAATACCATGAGAATTGCAAGATACGGGTAAGCATATCACCAGTCCAGCACACAGAGGAGGTGCACAGTTCCAGACCTTCCTGACTAGCAATGCGATCTGCCACTTCCTTCCCCATCCGCTTTTTTTCCAGAAATTAAGCAATTAAAGCCATAGCACTACATCCGGGACAATACTTAACAAAATGGACTGATTTTGGAGAATCCAGTTCGGATAAGTATAGAATGAAAAAGCACGCAGTAATCTTAGTAAACCATCCAAGTACCACGAAAAAAGTTCAACTTGTGTAAACAGACTTTTCCAGAAAAAGTTGGCATAAATTCCACATGGAATGGGTGAAGCGACTGTGCTCACAGACATTTTTCCCAAACGAAGGAAAGCAAAAAATCCACGCCTGTGCAGAGGACCGAACATTAATTTCTGGGTCCCAAGAACAGCAGATTCACTAAGCTTCATAGAGTCAATAAATTCAATTGAATTTTGGTCGAAAGATTCCAAAAACAAAAAGAGTAATAGTCAAAAGGCGTGCAGCAGAAAAAAGGGGAGGGCAGGGAAAGAAGGTGAAGAAATTCATCAAATACGGAAATGATGGTACCACAAATGCACAAGCCATCTTATTGGGTTCGGCGCAATCACTTTTTGAGCGGCACAGCAAATACATTCAAATTGAGCATATCTTACTTGATTTCAGCGATGCAAAAATACTCTTCAGAAACCAATAATGAGACGAACAAT